AGATATAAAGTACATTTAAATTACTGAAGAGCATAAAGGCTTTGAAAATGTGTATTGAAAATAAAGCAAAGAATATAGAAAAAGCAATTAATTACCTCAATACGGACCTAAGTGCTCATCTTGGAAAAAATGAGGAGGTAGGGTTTTTGGTGTAGGGAAAGCTAGTCAGTGAGTGAGTGCCTCAAAATTTAGAAAAAAAAAATCTTTGACTGAAAAGAAACCAGGCAAGAGATAACTAATTAAAAATCAAGAAGCTAAGATTAAAATTGACTAAGTAAGCCCCCAGAAATAAATGAAGGAAAGGAAATTAAAGCTTATAATCGGTGATACTGTGAAAAACAAAGTCATAAAATAATTTCAATGACATTCTTCTTCCAGAGCACGGAAAGACACCAAAGGGGAGGGAAGAGGGACTTTCATTTGCCCACAGGAATTAATATCAGGCAGAAAGTTTAATGACTGTTGAAAGTAAAGAAGAACAAATGGAAGGTTAAGATTCTTTCCAAAAGAGAAGTAAAATGTTTGCTAGAGGAAAATTTATTTAATATATTTACGTTTAAATTGAGAAAAAATCCCTTCATTTAAGAAAAATCATCTGAAAACTTCTCAAAGAGTAAACTCAAACTGTTATAAAATAAAGGAAAAATATTTTTTTTTTGAAAAAATAAAAGGAAAATATTTAAATAAAGAAGTAATTGAAACGTTTCACAAAGTGTAACTATGACACTGAGTATTCTGGGATACATATTTGTCTGAGTACTTTAAAAGAGTTTTGGTTTCTTAACCAACAAATTACTTAAGATATCCGACTGCGTAAAAATAGGCAATTTCGTGAAAATTTAGATTTTTTTATTGACTATCTTTGAAATATTGTTCTTTAGTTTTCCAAACGCCTTTAAAATTTTGAACTCAGATTTTAAGAAGTAAAGCTACAGTTCTTTTAATTTTGTATGTTAACAGACGAAAACGAAACTAAACTTCCGAAAATATAACTTGAATTATTGTGTTGTGCTTTTAATATTTAAGTTTCTCATTTAAATGAATTATATTTTATCACACATCAAATAAAATTCATTTTTTGAAATTATTTTTTCGAATTATTAGTTTTTTTGCTGTCAGAAAAAATTTAGAAAATGTTTTTACGCTAACACACATTACAACTAATTATTATAGAATTCTTTGAATATTTGTAAGTAGATTCAATGCTAGCGATATTTTTAACTAAAAGCTAAGTAGAAATATTTAGAATTTTTCAATATTAAACAGGATATTTAGTTCTATTTCATTGTCGTTTTGAAATTTTTTTAAAGTTTCAGTTAAAAAAAATGATAATTACATCATTGATCTAGAAAAAAATATTTTGATATTAATGAATTACATTTTGTTCTGGAGCTAATAGCGTGAAATGAAAAATTTGTGGCTTTTTAATTCAAATTTGTCTTTCTTTTGAAAAATATTTTAGAAAGTCTCTAAACGTTAAATTTATAATGCTAGAGACTCTGTTTACCAAAAACAAAATTAAAGTTTTAATTAAGCTTCTTTACAAAAAAAGTACTGTACCGATACTAGTCGGATACCTTAAACTGGAATACTACATTATAATATTTTAGTTTCTGGTGGGGGAACTAAGAGACCTCGGGTTCTAAAGCGATGTAAAAAGAACTGGGAAAGCTGTTTTGGAGTTGAGTAGTTATGGACATAAGAGGACGGAAAACCTCTAATTATTAAAATTACACATTGCTTTTAAAACAATGACTGAAAAATATTTGTTTTATTGCACTCGCAGAAATAAAACTTTTCCTTTGAAATAAAACTCTCCCTTTGAACTAAATTTTGTTCATTTCAAGAATTATTTCGTCATAAAATCATGTGATTTGTGACGCATCGAGAACTCTCAAATGTATGACGAAAATGTTTTCTCAACTTGAAACGTCATCACAGTGCATCGTGGGAAATTTTTAACTTGGATGAAAACAAGACGATGGAAAATAAGGTGACAACAAAATATGACCTGGTATGATGGTCGATGAATTGGCCTCGTACCAGAAAGATCCCAGGTTTGAATCCAGCTTCGGGCATGGATGTAATTTGTCTCTCGATTCTATCTGTATTTCTGATATTATCAAACTGACATTGATCCAGGTATATAGTGTCGACGAAATATTGATTATATAAAAACTTAGATACTTAAGTAACACGCGTTTTTCTTTTTTGGGAAAAAATAGAATGATGAAATATTTCTTCACTATTGACGAAATTCATTTCCTCGAAAAAGTGACATTAGCTATTTAGTCACTTTGACGAATGTTCGTATGGATTTTATACCGGGTAACAGTTTCAACAATAGACGTAAAAACTGTTTCATAAAATTTGCGTACATATGTCTTACAGTATGTAGAAGTAATTCTAAAAATTTTCAACCGACTGTAATTTTTATTGTATGACGCAATAAATAGTGAAGCTGAAAATAATGAGTAGAAGATGAATAACACAAAACAATTTATTTCACTTCATATACATTTATAATCAAATATTTAAAAATTAGAATACCATTTCACAAAATACGTGAATAGAAACCAACATTGTATACAAATCATTAAAAATTGAATAAATAAAAAGTAAATCAATGTTTCTGGTCGAGTACGACTAAATATAGCAGTCGTTAAATAAAATAAATTTGTGCGTTGTACGCCATTGTAAAACATCAATAAATACACACATAACAATCTATTTACTCATATAGCACATAACTAATAACAGTTATTGTTTAACTTTTGCAAGTATATGACACATCGATAAACTGCACATTAAAAATAAATAAATGACTTAGTAAAGTTTTTTTGGAGGAGGACCTTTCTCAATGCCTAATTAATTACCTAACACTGCAATATGGAAAAAAAGTATGTTTAATTGAAAATTATTTAATAAATATGAAACAAGTACACTGCAGGAAATTGCGAATCAAATTACTGTAAAAAGTAATGGCACTTAAGGTACCGGTACTTTTTACCGTAAAATCAATTTTTATCGGTACAAGTTATAGGACAAACATCTGATATGCGGAACTTTTTACAGCAATAATTGCCGTAAAATCACTGAAGCAAACTAAATAAATATTACAGTAAAAATAACAGTATAATATTTTACGGTAAAAATTGATTTTACGGTTGATGTTCCCCAAGTGCCTGCAATTTGTATCATAATTTGATTCATATTTTTTAAAGAGGATATCTAAAAAAGTGGCTTGTTAAGTATTTAAAGTTGCTTAAAGATTTTATGCTTTTTTCTCGCTGTTCGCAATTGTTATATCCAACGCAATATTTTTCAAATCAATCGAATTTCAATTTTAGAAGTCGCTTCTTTTTTTTAAAGCATAGGCACCATTTACAAACATGTTTAGAACGAAGCAGCACCTTAATGAAATATAGTAGACTCGCGTTTATTAATTCCTGTCCTAAATGAAATAGAGTAAAAAGTGTTAAAACGAGTTTTTCAAAGAGTTAAGAAAATTAATAAAGATAAAAATTAATTATTTGTTATTTTATATGGTAATTATTTCTTTTACTTTTTAATATCATACTTTTTTATTAAAAGCATTATGAAACGTTTCAATTTCAGTCGCTTCAAGAAATGATTTCTGAGTTTGAAATAGGAGTGATTTATGTAATCTTTGTTGCAATGAAAAAAAGTTATGGAGTACATTTAATTATCTTTTGACAATTCAATAAAAATAAAGAGTGTTTTATACTAGTCAAATTATGAACAGAACTAGATTATAACCAAAAAATAATTAATTAAATAATATACGTAAAATTTGCTCTTTTTTTTTACTAGACATTTTTGAAAAATATTGTAATTTTGCAAAAGCTGAAACGTCGGTACAATTTTCTACTTGTGAATCATCATTTGTAATATGTAATTTTCTTGATCTCAGTTTTGACGACAACAATAACATTTAATTAATACTTGCTGATTATAAAACTCAAACATTTTGTCAATAAATATTTTGTTTTTTAATATTATGAAATGTGTGTATTGTCTAAAAACAACTTACTTTTTTTGCAAATAAGTGATTTAATTAAACTTATTGCTTTTCCAAAAATATGCTTCAAAGGGGAAAAAAAATCATAAAACGGTATCGACAGTTCTGTTATTCATTTAATTTCTCATCTAAGACTTATAAACTGTATATTCTTATTTCTTGATTTTTAATTAGTTAAGTATTTTTAAACGCTATTGTAAAGATATGAAGCAACAATATGTAATCCATGTAATTTTAATTTCGTTACTAACAATGTGAAGGTTTGATGTTAAATGTAGTGTCTAGTTAGAACACGATATATTAGTTAAAATATTATAGTTATTGTAGAGCACTTACGAGTATATAAATTAATTAAGAACGAGGGGAATATGAAAAGCATAAAATTTATTGATACATGTATGTGAAGAGATTAATTACTTGAAAATTAGATATGATAGAATTTAATCAATTAAAAAACATAATTACGCATCATAAAAGAGTATCTACAAATGACTCAGAAGCACAAAATTATTACACCACAAGTAAAATAATTACATATCATCTACCTCCATATGAGGGTTTTAGGGGTAATGCTTTATAACAATAAGCACTCACATTTATAAATCAAAAACAAAATAAAAAATGTTTTTTTTCCTCTTTTCCTTTTTAAAATATCACATGTGATGATTGTATGTATGGCATACAAAGAAAGCAAGAGAAGAAGTGAAAAAAAATGAAAAAAGCCATTTTTAGAGAAAAGAAAATATAATGAAAAAATAATTCAAATTTTTAAAATTTAAAAAATCCTCACCCAACAACAAAACAAATTATTGACGTCAGCTCACATGATTAAAATATTGCTTTTCAATATGGTATTAATATAGCCAAAGGCATTTTTTTAAATTTAAAGACTTTTTAAAATTTTGAATTTTTTTTTTTAAATTTAAAACCATTTAATAATTTTTTCGTAATGGTCTTTCTTCTTTTCTTTTAAAAAAATGTTTTTCCTTCTTTTTGTCTGTTGCTTATTTTTCTTTACAATTTTATCTTACAGTATGGATTCTTTAGATTTGCAGCCTCTGCACTGTTAATAAAACTTAAAAAAAATGAAGAAATCTTAAATTCTTAATTTTTCTTTGCAAATTTAATATTTTCTTTCATTCTTAATTTTCTTTTACATACATATATACATGCTTACTTTTACTTTTTTTTCTCTTTTCATAACAACAGCTAGTTATATCAACAATTTAAATGCTTTTTTTCGCTTATTTCTATTATTTGCAAACGAAAATTAAGCTTTCATCAAAAAAAATAAATAAAATTAAATAAACGTATATTGTTTCACGGAATCTGAGATAAACAGCGTAAATTCTTTTATACAGACTCGAAAGACCTCACTTCTGACTTAAAATTAAAACAAATAAATAAAATAAAAGTCGATGTTACACGTAGTATTAATTGCAAAATGAGTTATTAATGTACACAACAAATGTTCCTGAAACATATCTTAAGCAAGCATGACTTCAGCCATTCAGGGAACGTCAGGGGAAAACTCAAGTGTTTTCTTGTGCCAAAGTGAGATTTTTTTAAAGAATAGAAAGACGTTCCACTCGAACACTTTTGTTATAGAGGTGGGGGTTACTTCCACTGAGGGATTCTGTGACTGTTTGCAAAGCTATAACACCATTAGTTGTGTTTTGACGAACAGCTGTAAATTTCCTTTGCTCTAAAGGATTAATTTTTTCTTCCTTCCATTTGCAACACCGGAAAACACTCTTAAATCCTTGGCGAAATCTGTAAAGCAGAAAATGAGTTGATTGTGTTGGTTATTTTTGTTCTCAATATGAGTTAAAAAAAGGTAAGATTTCTTACCAAACTTAATGTTTCTAAAACAGCGTATCGGACACTACTTTAGTGAATATAGATTTGCAGTATATATATATATATATATATATATATATATATATATATCAGAAAAAAAAATCCGTTCTTCAATTATTTAATAATTTTATTCCAATAACTTCAACNTATATATATATATAACATAACATAATATATAACATAAAAAATGGTCTAACGCAATTTTCTATTGTTGTCGGAGCATTATTAGTGGCTGGAAAATCACATAGTAGGATCCAGTTTTCCCACATTAATTTTTTATTGGTTTGGTTGTCATCAGCATAAAATTCATCTAAGTAATAACGGTTCTTTTTTTTCTTTTGTTTTCGAATGGCAGGCACTGAAATTTATTCGTTTCGCCTTAGAAGATGCCAGAGTTGTTACTCATTTCGTGTTACACAGTGGGCACCTGTGAACCAAAGTCACGGAAGCGAGTAGCATGTAAAGGTATTCAAATTAAGATAAACAACGTTTAAGAGCACAAAAATATTTATAAATGCAGACAGCTGTTTCGGATGCTCAAAGGGCAACCTTCATCAGTGCAACTGAAAGAAATGATCTCTATATATTTACCCTGTTTTCTCTCATTTCTTTCTGTTGCACTGATGAAGGTTGCCCTTTCAGCATTCGAAACAGCTGTCTGCATTTATAAATATTTTTGCGCTCTTAAACGTTGTTTATCTTAGTTTGTATTTTAGCACAAAGGTCGCCCACTTGTGTATTCATGTAAGGTTATTGTTTTCCTGAAAATATTTTTGTATCTCACATCTAAATGTATTTAACTGTACTGTTCTTATTAAGTTTTTAATTTTGTATTTTAAATTAAGAATTCAGGAGGATTGCTTTAATTATTACTAATATTATAATAACGTAATACTGCGTTACATTTGAAGATAAAATGATTCAGATTGGTGTCTGATCTTATTAAAAGTTTTACAATTATTATTTTTTGGAGCAAATTACATTAATATACTAAAATATAAAAACTAATAAATTTAATACGAAAATAAAATAGAAAGAAAGCAATGACAAATCTACGTTAGATTTTAAGTGGCGTGTATTGTGTTTTACCACATTGTAAGAAATTCCAGATCAAATTCTGGTATCGACAATTTTGGTGCTTCATCGGTAAAATCCAATTTTACCGTAAAATATTGTACTATAAATTTTACATTAATAATTATTTAACTATAATGATTCAGTGATTTTGCAAAAAAATATTACTGTAAAAATTAAGGAATATCAGATTGTTTTTATTTGTAATATTTAAAGGCAAAAATGGATTTTACGGAAAAATTCCGAGTACCGGTATTTTTACTATATTTGAACCGGGATATTTTACAGTGTATAGCAGACCTTTCATAAGGTTTCCAATAAAAAAAAAACTACAAGTAGTAAAGTGTTTAATAATAAATTATATTTTTAAACTACTTATCTAAAATTGCAAAATAAAAAGTTATATCAGTTCTTTTATTTGTAGTGCATAATTCGAAACAGTGGAATCAACAGAGTTAAAAACATAAAAAAGTCAAAACAGTCATGCTAACGTTTTCTTACCTGCTATTCATCCAGCAGTAGATGAATGGGTTATAGCATGCATTGGACATCGCTAACCAATAAATTGATAAGTATATTGGCTGAACATATGTTGCACTGGTAATCTGGGGTACATGATGAGCAACCAAGAAGTAAATATGATATGGTAGCCAGCAAACAGCAAAGATTACAACGACAACTATCATCATTTTTACGATCTAGTAAGAAAAAAATTTTTGTGTGTAAAAATCTGCAGTTTTTCAAAACAACAAATATTTAATGAAAGACGAACAAGATTTCTTTTGAGAAACTTTGTTGATTAGAAATTAAATGTGCATTTCATTTATTTAAAAAAAATTCATGTATTACTTATCAACAGAAAGTGTAAGCGTCTTATATGAACAAATATTTCAAAGATGAACAAAAACGTGGCTTATCATAGAGAAGTTCAAAGACTGTTAACGTTAGTATAAATTTACTTCGTTATGAACTTATATAAATAAATATTAAATCTGCTTCGCTCGTTGAAATTGTTATAGAAAGAGACCTCTAACTATCTTCTATGCTTTTTAAATTTGAATGCATTTCGTTTGATGTTGTGCAAGCTCAAACTTTTAATAATTTAGAAAACGACAGTACTTTTGTCAATCTGTCATCTATGTACTCTATATAATCTATACTTTCCACGGTAATAGAGGTTTCAATAGTATATATTTGCCTTACTCACTTCTCACCGTGCAGAATTGCTGTTTCGCTAACCCCTCTATAGCGTAGATATAGTGGGTTCAAATTCTGCTATTACACTGGAAGAATTTTCTTGGTGTTTTTCGCAAAACTGCTCTGTTTTTCAAACTGAAAAGAGTTTTTAAGACTTTCTTCCTATTTACAAAGCTATCCATATATGTATGTAAATAAATAATTATGTTCCACTACCTCGAGAAAAGAAGGATAAAATAGTATCCATGGTATAATATATCTGTGTTTAATATCTTTAAAGCACCTTACTTAAATATTTGAAGCCATTTTTCATGTCCTTTTATCCCTTGTTATAATAAAGAAACTACATCGGAATAAGAAATAATTAACAGTCATTTTAGTCCTCTCAACCCTTTATGTAAATTGCCATTTTTTATAAGACACGAAAATGCAAACAGAGTAAAATCATTCTATTTGATAAGAGGGAAAGAAATGGTGAAATTACCAAATAAATGGTAACATGTTTGATTTTACTGAAGAACTTTTTATCGTGAAACATTATATAATGGCATAAAAATCAATTGATTTTGTTACATTTATTTTTAAGTTTTGTATTTGTTACGAAATGTATTATAATAAGAACTATAAGTTTGAAAATCAGAGTTTCCGGTAAACCGTTACAGCAGCGAGCGGTAAAATTATGTCATGAATGTTTTAAAAACCGTATATTTTGTTTTGATTGCCAGAATCATGGTTACTTTTGCCAGAAACTTCCTTATCATACGACTATGGTAATTTTTCAGAATTTTTTTCTCCGTATAGATTGCATGTCAAATCTTATAAGCTGCAATATATTTAATTTAAAAATTTGAATGAAATCAAAAACCAACTTAAAGCTTAATATTAATCTTTAGATAACAGATCAACTGAGTGTCAGTTCAAGTTTTGTCCGAATTTTTAGCTGGTGTGTTTCCTACACCATAAGCCTACCTTCCGCAATTTATTCATTAAAAAGAAGTGTATAGCAGGAAAATTTTAGAATTAGTTTGTCTAGGTAGTCTAAGCACTATAATGGTATACAAATCAACGTATATGTAAAAGAAAAAAATCTTAATACACTCAAAGTATAGACAAGAGCTTATACCATTATTCTTATTTTTTGATAATTTATTTAAATTTCTATGTTTTATTAAACAAATAGGTATAGTAAGTGTTTTCCATTTTCAGATCTTCGTTCCATTCCATTATTTATGCCGATAGTATACACTGTTTTAGAAAAAAATAGCTTATTTTTTACACTTTTTTTTCAAATAGCTAAGGTATAATAAAAAAAATAAATGTATACTTTTTTCATCTCCATACGATTAACCGTAAAGTTTATGCCAAAGGACATTTTTACCTTCTTGATTTTGAAACCGTTTACTCGTTGTTTAATCGTATTAGATGAAAGCAGTAAATAAACGGTTTTTCTAACAAATAACAGCTTGATTACCATTTTATTTAAAGTCATTTTACTGTTTTGTTTGAATATGGTAAAATAATAATTAAATAAATGGTTATTTACCGTTTATTTCAGATAAATTTCTATCAGTGCATAATAAACCTCAATCCCCACCGAAATTCACCATATCACCGCAGAAAAATTCCTTTCTTGGTAACGCTTGGCTGCATTATTTTGAAAACGATTGCAACTTTTGCATTGGTATCAGATAGCTACAGTTTTATTTCGAGTGTCCTAGTTAGTTTGAAAAGTGATGGAAGTTTAAATAAGCCTTAAGCCCAATTCAGCTTGCAAACAAAAATTCTGCTTGTTGAAAAAATTAATTGATTCTTCTATTTTTATTTAGCTCAGAACAGCAGATGAGATTTCTATACTTCATTTAGTTTATTGACAGAAATTTTGATCGACTATAAACCCACTTTGGCAGTAAAATAACTATAAACTAAACCCGTAACACTCAGGAAGTAATTCGAACTATTAGATCTGAGGCTTCAGTGATCTAACAATTCGGAGAGAGGTTAAAATTTACTCTCACAGTCGCAAAAATTAATCAATGAAAATATAGTGACAATACATACACCGAGGAACCATCACATTATGACCACCCTCCATCTATAACAATGGGCTCGCCCAGGTTTTCATGGTTTCTCGACCAGGAACAATGTCTTCATGGAACTCATTAGGACCCATAATCCTCATAGAACAATCCCTGACACCTGTAAGCTACTTGAACATAGTTGCAGACCAGGGTCACCCATTCATGACAACAGCTTTTCCTGCTGGGGATGGTGTTTACCAGCAGGATAATGAACCATGACATAAGGGTCGAATCGTCGAGGAACATTAAAGTGACTTTCAAGTCCTGTCTTGGCCCCTAAATTCACCTGACCTTAATCCAATAGAGCATTTGTGGTCCTACTTCGGAAACCAAATTCGTGTTGCCACGCTACCCCCTTGCAATGTGAGGGAACTGCAGGACCACTTGGTGAGCGCTGGTACCAGATACCTCAGACTATCTATCAGCACCTTGAGGAATCAATGCCACGGCGGGTGCTAGCAGTTTTGAGGGCTAAGGGTTGTCCTAGAGGCTATTAGCAGGGTGGTCATACATAATGTAATGGCTCTTCGGTGTATATTTTTAATAGTAAATATCATTTAAAACGATTGTATGTGAGAACATCTTTTGTTCTTAAATATTTTTAAAACACATTGTTTTGACTAATTTAAAAAAAAATAATGATTCTCAATGCGTTAAATTATGCTTCTCGTTATTCATTGAATACTTACACATTTTAGAAACATTTAAATGTTAAATGTAGCTTTAACATATTTTTTATTTATTTACATTTTTCGTCTCTTTTAGGTAGTGTTAGGACTTTTTAAACTTTTATCGTAAATACTTCCACTGAAGCTCAGTGGCTGAAGTGAAACTTACTTTCTTTTTGGAAAAAAATACACTTTCTTACTTAGTTTTTCATACATATTTTTTCTTTCAACGACAAGCAAGGTGCGATCCTCACAAAGTGAATACAACTGCACATCTTAATGTAAGAAGAACTGAATCTCAGGAGACAAGAAAAAAAGCGTATCAGAAGCACTTATAAAATTTTAGAGATACCATAATATTTTTTTTTCTTTTCTTTTTTTTTTAGATTTTTATATTTGCACTTAACAAAACGCCTATCTGGATTGTAAAATGTAGAGCTCAACTATTTTTTAAAACGTCTGAAACTTAAATATATTCTTCAAAATATTCTTAGTTATCATAGTTTTATTCAAAGATTTCTGCAGAAAGTTTCAAAATAAATTCGTAAGCAATAGGGGAGTGTCGGGTACCCCCGCCCACTGTCAATTTCATATGTGCAGAATATTTTTTCAAGTCAATGGGCCATCGGACAATAATTTTTATATTAAAAAAAGATTATTTTCAAAGTTTCAAGTATTTATGCAGCTGGTAACATAGTAAACAATAGTTTTGAAAATATGTAGAATACAGTAGTCATGAAATTAAGAAAAATTGGTTGAATGTTTCGATTCGGTTTATCTATTGTCATTAAAATGGTCATTTTTATTTACACCTGAAAAAACAGTCAAAAAACATAATTTTTGTAACTGGGCGGGGCTACCCGTCACATTTTAAAAAGAGCTGAAAAATATGTTTTTTTTTTAAATTTCTATTTTTTTTAAAAGTTAAACTGTTCTTTCTTTTGCTTATTCTTTTTGCATTATTTAATTAGATGACAAAACAATAGAAACATACAAAAATATTGATTATTACTCAGTATTATACAGAAGTATAAGCAATACTCCTTAAGTGGGCTGGGCTACCCGACTCTCCCCTACATATAAGATGAAAACAAAACAGATCGTTGTTTAGCTGACCGCACTTTCATGCATATATTTGTATTTGTGATTGTATATTTCGTTTTGTTTGCACTTAAATTTTTCTTCTGAGTTTACTTTTTTTAATAACAATTGTTCTACTTTAAAAAATGATGGAAAATTAAATTTGGAAATTGGAAATAGAAGTAATTATTGTTTTGTGCTTTATACTGTTTGAATAAAAAAGCTTAAAAAAATACATATATTATAAAATTATGTATAATAAGAAATATATTTTATAAAAAATATATATTATAAAATTATGTATAATAAGAAATATATTTTATAAAAAATATATGTTATAAAATTATATATAATAAGAAATATATCTTTTAGAAGTATATATTATTAAAAATATATGCATCATAAAAATATTTTTTTTTATTGTTGAATATAAAAAACATGGGAATTGAAAGAAAAAGAAAGCGCACAAAATCACGCCTGTTATTTTTCGACAAACAATCATGCAATCATAATATTTATTTTTTTAACATGACTGTAAGTTTTTCATGGACAAAATATCTATTAATTAAAGTATTACGCAGATATTGCCTATCTCAGTATCATTGTAAAAAGACTCTTTTACATTGCAAAATTAAACGGACTTTTGTAGTTACAAAATAGCATCACTTGTTCCTTAAATCGGAAAGAGTATCCATAGTATCTTCCACTAGAAAGAGTATCTTTGTAACTAAAAGTTTATATCAAATGTAACTTTACCACGTTCTTGCGCGGAAATATTCAGTTTAAAATCTTGAATGCGAGAGATTTAAAATTTTTAAATTTTATAAACATGAAAATTTTATAATTATTTTACTTTAAATCTGCGTTTTACAAACAACTAAAGAAATATATAAAAATGAATGAGTACCTTTCTTTTTGAGTTGATGCTTTCAACTTGTTTTTGAGTACATTCTCCAATGCTTTGGCTTCCCCACAATTCTCTTCCCACTCTAAAGTAGGTGAATGTCATCGATGTTATGGGTAAAACATAGGTTACGATGAAAATCACAATGTTGTACCTGAAAGAAAATAAAAAGAATTTTTTTTGTATCAAAAATAAACATGGAATTTTTTTAATACATAACTGCAAATAGAGGAAATCTGTCTGTTAGTGAAAATGTGAAGAACGGTTGAAACAGTAAATTGAAATTGTTATTTTTCAGTTGTTTCCTTAAGACAAAAGCACTCGCTTTTAGGTGGTATTTTTTTAGGGTAGTTCGGAAAGTAAAGTCATTTTTTTTATGAAAATGAAAAATGATTTTATAATAGTGAATAAATAGCTTATTTATTTATGTATTGTCCTTTCTAGTCTAATACTTTTTGTCATTTGTCATGAGGCATGGTTCCTCGCTGATAATATTTATACCAAAAAACTGATCCAGGTTTCTTGTGGCAAAACACTGATCCAGATGATTTCTGACCTCCTACTTTGAAATAAAGGTCCGACCATCTAAAATAGTTTGCAGAGACTGAAGCATTTTATAGACACCTATTTTCTGGTTCCCAGTGATGATTTGTTTCAATTTTGAGAGGCAAATCCCAGGTGTCAACGTGGTACCGCAAATTTCTTTCTGTAAGAACATGAGAAACACATATGGTGGGTTTCGAGTTTAAACCTAGCCACTTCAAATGATAATGAATGTCCGAATTTTAAAAAAAATTCTCATCAATATCACGAATTGTCGGTTTGCATCAATTTACGCCATTATTGTGTCTTCAACAACTTTTGCTAGTCTTCCAGAACGTGGTGCATTTTCAAAATCAAAATTACCGGATTGAAATTTTGCAAAAAAGTTTTGGCACTCAGTATATATTCTCCATTTACATTGGATGCTTGAATAGCATCTCTATTTTTTCGATAATAAAAAAGTTAAACATGCAGCTTTTTATTTTCTATTGTTTTAAAATTGCACCAACGAGCCAACAAAAAACTACTGCAACACTTACTATATAAATTGTCAAAATATACAGCTAATGTCATACACAGCTAATGATAATACAGCCCTATTATCATTAGCTGTGTATGACATTAGCTGTATGTATGACATTAGCTGTGAAAAAATACACTTAAGTCCTCTGCTGAAAAAAAAAAATGCTTTCCGAAAAATCCAATATTTAATGATCAAAACTAGCTTTGTTTCAAAAAAATTTTTTTTCACCAAATTTACTACGGCATATAACAATAATATTAAAATATTCCATTATTTTTCTAATTTGTTTCCTCTTTTACTTCTCCGGATGAGTTTCATTTCAATTTTGTTCCTTCTTTCTCGCAATAGATTAAAGACAGTTTAGGAAAAAAAATTGTGCATTGAATACGGATTATTGGATGACACATTATTATTTGCAATAACAGTTTAATATTAATTTTCATTGGAATAATTGTGGTAGATAGGACTATGAGTAAGTTTGTCCGGTTTTTATTTGTTGAATATTCCTTACACTGAGAATTTTTTTAAATATTAAATGCTAGTTCCTGGAATAGATTTGCTCACTATTCCTTACTCTGATATTTTTAAGAGCAGCTGCCATTGTAAGCCATTATAAGCATAACATGCTATCTAGCTTTGGAATTTATTTTATTTCACAAAATACATTTTCATGTTTAATCAATCCTAATCCCTTTTTAAATAAATAAATTATTTAATAAATTTACTTCAATTACATATTAAGTAAAGAAAATTATTTATACTTTTTTCTTTTCTCAATGAAAGAAACTTCTAACTTATTTATTCCATTAAACTGTGTAGGAAGTTTCTGTTTTTAAATTTGAGTTTATTTAACTACTCATTAAAATTTAATTTTAAACTTACTTTCTTTAAACTGCTTCCAATTTAGCATAAAGAAAATATGTTGGTTACAGGTTTGTATTAAATTCTAATGGTCTTTTTGGCGTTTAATTTGAGTGCTGAATTATTTAAATTTAATAATAATAAAGCGAGGTTGGCTTTATTTCTAACAGTGTTCTGACAGTGTTATTTCTCAGTAAATCACCAAAAATAAATATTTTCTTTCTATGCTCCTAAGAGTCTGAGATTACAATTTGATTGACATACTAGGGCTCCCAAGGTACCCTCTCATCTTGCAAGACTTGGGGGTTTAGACGTACCGTGGCACCTGAGTCCATCCATTGAAAATTGAAAAAAAAAATCATTTTTAAAACCATTTCTTCTTAATACTTAGAAAAAATAATGCCTAAAGACTTTTTAGTGGTTCATGGCAGTTTTATGTTTGAATGTATGGCCATATATGTGGAATTTCTATTGCTTTATTAATCTTTTTTTTGTCGTATGCCTGTTTAGGCAGTGGGGGTGCGATAGTTCCTCTTTTTCAGTGGCGCCATCTATGACCAGGAATTCGACTTCTGCCACGCCATTCACGCAACCACAACCCGCTTATAGGGCGGGTCACATTCACACACATTCATACACAAAAGAGAAAGGACATAGAACACAGAGAGAGAGAGAGAGAAAGAAACATCCATGCCTTGCCCGGGATTCGAAGCCAGGACCTTTCTGATGCAAGGACAGTTTCGTGCCCCCTACACAGGAAGGTCGGCTGCTTTATTAATGACAGCAACAAATTGATTAAAAGGAAACTGATTTCCTAATTTCTTCTTGTCTCTTCAATAATTTCAAATTAAACACAAGGTTATGTTATTAAAATACACTATAATATCCGGCCTAATATAAGCTGAAAATTTTTAAAAATTTTAAAAAATAATTATTTTTCATTTTGAAAAGAATTTCTGTTTAATACTTTGATTCAATAATGCCTGATGATCTTCAAGTAGGTGATAGTGGTTTTGAGTTTCGATGTGTAGCCATATATTCAAACTGTCTAACGATGAAAGTATCTACTAAATACACAAGTGGGCGACCTTTGTGCTGAAATACAAACTAAGGCAAACAACGTTATAGAGCACAGAAATATTTATAAAATACAGACAGCTATTTCGGATGCTCAAAGGGTAACCTTCATCAGTACAAATGAAGGTTGCAAATAAAGGTGCAGTAAAGGTAAAATACAGACAGCTGTTTCGGATGCTCAAAGGGTAACCTTCATCAGTGCAAATGAAGGTTGCAAATAAAGGTGCATGATGAAGGTTGCCCTTTGAGCATCCGAAACAGCTGTCTGTATTTTATAAATATTTTTGTGCTCTTCCACGTTGTTTGCCTTTGTTTGTAATTATCTACTAATTACCTAAAGAAAAGTGATTTTAGATTTTTATCATGTCTCTTCAATATAAATTCAATACAAGGCAATGTTACCAATTTACTTTATAATATTCGGCTTAACATACTTTTCCCGTGTTTCTTTTTAAGACTCAATGCTACTGCTTTGGATTTGCAACACGGTTTGCTCTAACAAATTCTAATCGCGTATTGGTATAAAAATAACTATTAACTGTTATAATAATAATTAATAATTTTTGTTTCATAAAATAAACAGATACATTAAGTACAGAAAAATCAACTTGATAAAGTTTTTTTTGAGAGAAACGAATGGGTGTTTACAAATTAATCTCAAGATCCTATTATGGTATTCTCAAGATCCACCAACAAAATGGGAGCAAACCAGCTATCACTCTTTACCCTTTTCACCTGAAATGAATTAATTGCACAATATAGCCTTAACTGGGAACCGCTAGAATGGTTTTAAAACCTGGAATTGACGGAATTTTCGAGTTCTTTCTTTCGAGTCAAAACTTCGAGTTACGCTGGTTGAAAAAACTTAAAATAAAGTTTTATTTCAGGTATTTACTACAATTTTCAGTTAGAAAGCTTTATTTGTTCCATATTAAGAATACAGTCTTATTTCTACATTCAGTTCAATTTTAAGTAATTAATTACCTATAAAACTGATTTCGAGGTGTAGACTACAACAAATAAGGGAATAAATAAATAAACCATCCAAGCAATGGCATGAATGAAAAAACATTTCAGGTAACGTAGTATATCTACATTTATGAGAAAAACTTTATTCATCTATCAACTTCTTGAAAATTTAGATTTTATGGCTAAAATTTGCTTAATTTTATGCAAAGTAACAAATTTTGCACCTTACATTATTTATTCTTTACCATTTTTTTAATTTTTTTAAAAAAATACTTAGTTTGATTATATGAGAGCGTAATTAGTAAAAAAAATATCCGCTGTTTTAAAAGTCAATATTTTACTAAACTGTTAAAATACGCTGGGTTTATAGTACGCTGGATTTATTTAAGCTGGATTAAAAGTATATACGTATTTCAGAAAAAAATGAAAATATGCTTGTTCGTGCACATGTACAGTTCGCTGTAGAAGTTTGTAGCTAAGTCAGCATGAAAAATTAAAATAACGTAGTGAAAGTCAATCCAATTTTGTAATGGGATCTAGAAGAATGTATCAAGACAATCAATATATTAAAACAAATCTGTTTCAAGAGATATGTACTTTTAACCAAATGAAATCAACATATGTTAAGTAGTGAAGTGTAGTTAATTCGCTTTGAAATTTTCTACTAGACTATATTGCATCAAAATATATAATATTGAAGGTACTTAAGTTTGTAGCGCAGCCAAATAACGAAGTGAAATTGAACCTCATTTCAATTTTTTGAGAGGTTGTAATGTATATTCTTCAGATTCAATGAATGAATTCTTAATGAATCTTTATTAAGAGGATATATACTTGAAACCAAGTAAAATTATCAATTTTAAAGCAATGAAGTAATTTTAACTTCATTGCAAGCTTTCAAGAGATTTGTATGTATACATATCCTATTCAGTGTATTCAAATTGGGAACAAAGTCAATCCGATTAATTAAAATTATGAAGAGAAGATAAATCATATTTTATTTTTTAGAGCGATAGTGTAGCAGTAAGACATGCCTTTTCAGACGATAAAGGCCTACAACCAAGTAAATTTGTTAAAATTAAAATTATTAAATCAAAATAGCACCCATTTAAAATTCTATACTGGCTGATTAATATAAGTTCTATTTAGGGTAATACTGAAGAAAATCTTATTTTCTTTTC